TAAACCTGTGAAGGATCCCTGTAGCCGTGTCATTGTTATAGTACTGCTGTTAAGAAGGCCACAGTACTGTAACAATACTCTGCTTCGCAGAGTAAATTATGTAAATGGAAACCCACTTCGCGTGTTCCTATGTAGCATTTGAAAGTATATTATGTAAATGGGAACTTGCGAAGCGAGTTCCCATATAGCATTTGAGGTGGTATTATGTAAACGGTAACCTGCTTCGCAGGCTCCTGTGTAGCATTAAAAAATCTTAACAGAGATCCCTTAAAGTTCCCCGCTTACACGGAGAACTTTAAGGAATCTCTGTTAAAATTTTAACATTTTTTATGACCGTGACCAACATTCGCACTTTAGTAGAGTAAGATATGTGTGTGTGTTGTGAATGAAGTAGCGATTATATATGAGTGCCGTCAATAGAAAACCTGTCATTGGGCTTTCAATATTCAGTCGGTTTTCTGAATACAATCTATGAACAATCTATTATTGGAATTTAAATTATATTTGTGCCACTGGAAAAATCTGATCTGCATAGTTGATAATTTAACTATTATTAACTGTTAACCGTTAACAGTTAACTATTATTTTTGCATTTATATTAACAAACACTCACTCTTCTTTTGTTACTTTGTCAATTGCCAAAAGTTTCAGATGATACAATTCGTCCCGTTGCTGGTAGTAAATGGACTTCAAGATCTGTTTCATCCTTGTTGAATTTTAACAGTAATCTAGTTGTTGCCGCGATTCATCATTGCTGTGATTCATCGTTGCTGATGGTAAATTGTCTGTTTCTTTTGGTGTTTGGATTTTGATAAAAGTTTTTTTTCTACTCATATACATGCTTAATTATAATTTTTTTTTTGTTTAGATAACCTTTGAGGCATTATTCGAGTTTGAAATCACTTTTGGTTTCATTGGTAATGTTTTTTGGGTGTATTTTATTATTGGTTTGGGATATTTTTTTTATTATTGTCCTAGCTCATGTATACATTAAACAATGTTCTTCTTTTAGAAAAGTTAAGCACATTATTCACTTTAGAACTGTCATTAGCAGTATGGATTTAGTGTAGGGTCTTTTTTATTGTTACTATAGTTGTGTATAGAGATGATAACGGCTTGACCCGACTTGTATATTTATTATTATAAAAACTGATTAATCAATAGAGTCGATTAAATTATTATTATCCCTAGTTGTGTATATGATTTTGTTATGTATTAAATCATTGTTTTTATAAACACCTTTGTAATTATTTTATTTTTATAAATATATAATTTTATTTAATAAATAACATAAAAATTACAAAAAATATTTCTGAAATTTCTAAAAACTAAAGTCATAAATCTATTATTATTATTATTTAACTCTAATTTGGGTTAGTAGCAATGTCAAGACCATTTCATTGCATCAATGATAAATAATTATTAATATCAGCCAAATTAATACTGTAGTATTGAATATTCATTGATTTAATAATTACATTAAAATTTTTTAAATATACCTGATCAAAATACTTACTAAATGGAATTTCAAGGAGATTTAGAGCACTTTCTTGATATATGCGATCTTACTTTCTCTGAGTTATATTCTGAAGAAACAGATGAGAATATTTATTTTGAAGAAATAGAAAATTTTCAATTAGATGACTCAAGTGCTAAAGATATTACAGGTGAAGAATCTAAAGACATTATGAAAATTTCTGAAACAGCTGTAAATGATCATATTGAAAGGCTCCAACAATGTTGTTCATGTGAGAGAAAATGTAGTGAGAAAATTCTATCAGATTTGCTACAATCTTTGGTTTTAGAAAGTCTCCAAATGAATAAAAAGCAATGCCATTATTTGATGTTAATACTTATTTCTTCTTTCAACCCTAATTTGTACCATAAACAACCAATTAAGAGATTCTCATTACCTTACTTTAGTGATGTTTGTTCTTCTTTTTTTGAACATTTTGGGAATTTGGTTATGATGCTTTTCGTCATTTAAGTAGTTGGATCAGAGAGCGCCAATCAATGTTACTACAGCCTCATGGAAATACTGGTCGACCGCCTAAAAAAGCCTTACCTGATGAAACTGTTAATGCAACAAAACTTTTCATTAAATCAATTGGAGAGTAACAAGGTGAAGCACTAGCTGTTAAAAAATATACTCGAAAATGGGCTGATAGAAAAATAACTGTTAGTTATAAACAAAATGATGTTGTTCTTCTTCTATTCTATTATTTTTATAATCATCTTCATGCTGCTTATAATTCATTGCATCCTGAAAAGCTTATTAAAAGTCATATAACTTTTCAAAAAATTTGGAAAAATGACACTAAGCTTAGTAAGATATTAATTAAAAAACCATCCAAGGACGTTTGTGATGAATGTATTCTATATAAACGTGCATTAAAAGAAAGTGTTAATGATACAGATAAAAATATTGATACACAATTAATAGCACATATATCAGACTATCAGGAAATGAAAGATATGTACGAAGATGATATTAAAAAAGCAAAAACCAGTGATCGTTCTTCATTTCACGTTTTTTCATTTGACTTTTCCTAAAATATGGAATTACCTCATAACCCCCAACAGCCCGGAAGTTGGTATTATCGATCATTGTTGAAGGTGCATCAGTTTGGTTTTGTAGACGAAGGTATTGATAAACATTGGCATTGTATTTATACTGAAGGCAAAGCCTTAAAAGGGGCAAATGAAGTTGCCTCGATAATACATTTCTTTCTTACTTCTAAAATAGGTAAAGCAAAAGAAATTAGAATATGGGCAGATAATTGTGGAGGGCAAAATAAAAATTCATGCCTTCTTTGATATCTTCTTTGGTCTTGTGATACTAAATGATTTTATGAAATTGAATACTGATTCCAAATTAAAGCCACACAAGAAATTCCGTCGACCATAGATTTGGTAATACTAAGCGTATGTATGCCAAATTGGAAGCTTGGTGTATTGATCATATAATTGATATTATAAAAAAAAGTGCAAGTAATAATATTCCTATAAATTTTGAGAAGCAAAAAGAGGTAGAGCTTTTTTGTGACTGGGTATTAGCATTAAGTTCATTATACTGAAAACCTTCTGCTATTCAAAAATATCATTTCTTTCAGTTTAATTGTGAAAGGCCTGGCATAATAAGGGCTAAAATAAGAGTTAATGATCCTTGGGACGAATTTCAACTGTTAAAAAAAAAAGCTGATCCACATAGTCTAAATCCTTGGACTATTCGAGAACTTCTACCAAGAGGTCTTTCAGAGGAAAAACAAGTAGATCTTTGGAAAAAGATTCGTGAATATTGTCCAACTGAATTTCAAGATAAACTTTGACCAAAGCCACCAAATGATGTAATAGAAAGAGTAAAAGGAAAAGAACTTGCGCAAGAGGAACTCACTATTGATAATGTATTAAAACAGTTGACAAATATAATTAACTTGTACGTAGTAGTTGATTTACAGCGAAGCGTTTAAAAAAAAATAAAATCAATAAAATTGATTTCGTGACACAATTTGCTAAATTTAATTATCATTACGTCAGATTTTCACAGAGGTATGTCTAACATTTAAATTCCGATGATAGATTGTTCATAGATGTTATGCAGAAAACTGACTGAACATTGAAAGCCTGATAACAAGTTTTCTATTGACGGCACTCATATGTTGTAAGGTAGAATGGAATCTAAGTGGATTTAATTTCCTAGTTAAATTAGGGTTAGGGTTAGGGTGTTTATATAATAAAATCAACCCTGAAACGGAGGTTTTCTATATAAATTCCAAATCCACTTAAATTCTGTTTCCACTTACAACATATGTTATGTAAAAAAGACCTGAAAAAAGGTGCTTCCCATTAGTGCTCCGAATCAGGTCAGGCCAACCCGAAACCCGACCCGAAATTTCGGGTCGGTTCGGGTCGGGTTCGGGTTAGAAAATTTTGATCCGAAAATTTCGGCTTGGGTTCGGGTTGAGCATTAACCCGACCCGAACCCGACCTGACCCGACCCAAAGTTTTTTATTTAGTGAAGTCTTTTTTTATTTGCATTTGATATTTGATGACAGTATTAGAATATAGAGGGAATTATTTGCATATATTTATAATTGAATTAACTTTTGTATAAACCAAAAATCTATATTTAAATTAGAAAGTGTTATAATATATA